AGAATGTTCAAACCACCGTGGCCTCCCATGGCTTACGGAGGATTCAACAAGCACTCAAACTGCAAACTAACTACGGATTTGGGATTTCTCAATCCGGAACCCTTAATCCCAGACGATCAGATCAGAAAAGATCTCGCCAACACAATCGATGAAACGGAATGAATGAAGAAATTGATGAATCGACGAGGAAACTTCGATTTGAGAGAAATTTAGGGGAGAGGTCTTCTTACCTGTTGGCCTTTGAATTTTGTTGACCTTTTTTCGGAAAATTGAAAGCCCATCGGGCCTAGGAAGTGGTATTTTTGCAATTATAAGCCCAATAACTATATTTGTTTCCCAAACGTTTCTGAGGAGTGTACCAAAATCTGTAGAGCAACCACAAGTTTCGCTGAAATACTTCTTACAGTACTTCTTACTTGTTTGGTCTACAAGAGGATACATTTACGAATATTACGAAATATATGTATGTTTGCAGAACAAGAGGTACATTTGTAATGTGTGGATTGATACACTTTACACTTATTGTTACAACTGAAATTGCTTTTTCCACTGCCGTAGTTATGCACTAGTCTAGTGACATGCTAAAAAACCTGAGAATGTAATCAGAATTCCAATACAGAATTTGGAAAACTGTAGTTAAAAGAAGGCATCAAGAAAGAAAAGGCCATCATAATAACTTTAGAAGTTCAAATAATACGAATCAACTAATAATTCTTATTTTTGTAGCCAAAACGATCTTCTTCAAAGAAGGCATCAAGAAAGAAAAGACCATCATGATAACTTTAGAAGTTCAAATAATACGAATCACTTAACTTACAAGTATCAGTCGATCAAATGTAGGTACTTCCGAATTTATTTGCATTAGGACTTTTTTGCTCCTTTAAGATCGCATGAGTTTCCGAGCGAGAGAGCAACAGAAACCTTAAGTATACTAAAATAAGAAAAGGAAATGTAAAGCTAATATAGATTTTAAGAAATTGTGTTGTCTTAAAATCTCCGTTTCAGGAAGAGAGAGAGAACAGAATAAAAGACTCTAGTCTACTCTTCAAAACCTCTGTTTCTCGATCTTTTCCTTTTACTTTTACATTTAATCAAATGATGGTGGTCTAGTGGTTTCCACCTAATGGAGGAGTATCAAGACCGACTTCTCTCAAGCGCGCTAGATTTATCCCATTTGACCATATGGATATGAGCCCTTGCTTTTAGCCCATTTAAATACCCAGAGAAAGGGTCTATTCGTGGGCTCCACCTCTCCAAAGAATTAGTCTAAACCACTCCATAAGCCTAGGATTTACCCTGAGTTATCAAAATTTTTTTTGTCATAGATGTGGCATGTTTCTTGTGGAAAAAGGTAACTAGTTGTTAAAGTAAAATTCATGGCTGACAGTTTCGTTAATCAAGTTAAATCCAATCTCCATCAATCCAACCCAGTTCAACTTTGGAGAATTTTCCCTTTTTTTATTTTTGAAAAATAATAGCAGAATGTTCAAACGGGAAATGGATCCTCAGACTCTGCAAGAGGGTCTCAGCTCTCTGCACAAAGAATTCATTTCTATCCCCTTTCACCTTGCCGCCCCATGAAGAAAGCTTTAGTTTGGGCTGCTTCTTCTTGTGGCTCCTCCCATTATTCTGCCTCCAAACGTGCACAACAGCCTCAATCCTGTTAGCGATTTCAAGAGTATGGTGTTCCAATGAGAGATCAAGACAGTCTAGGAGACATTCCGGTGAGAACTTTTTTGCAGTCAAGTATTGGCAGATGATCTCTCCAGGACATTCCTTCCCGCTCTGCACCACCAAGTTCAAAAAAGAAGAAAGTCAGGCCTCACTCCACACAGAGCAGTGTAAAAGAGGGAGAGAAGCTAAGCTAAGCTGCATTGCATATATATACCTTGGGCAATGTCTCCAAGTAAGTGTGGGGATGTCCATTTGGGCGAGCACACCGCTGTTGATGGCCAATGCAGCGACGTAAATAACCTTTTACAACCGATCCATTAGAGCCCAAGTAGATACAAAGACTTGGGCTACTATAAATTTTCAATTTTATAACGAAATACAGCTCAAGACTTTGATGTAAATAACCTTTTCAATTTTTTAACGAAATAGATATATTGTTCGTTTGTAATGTACATTTATTATTTTGCTATATTTTTCTTGATCAACATCTTAAATATATGATTTTATTTCCAGTCAACATCTTTGTAAATTTATAAGAAATGAGTTTACAATAGAAACATAAAGATTTGAAGTTTTAGTCAACCAAAATAATAAATGTACATTCCAAACATATGTAGAAAGAGTATAATTATTATATTATATTATATTATATTCTATTCTATATATATAAATAAATAAGATACATTCTCATAACAAATCAAATCAAATCACAAACAACAAATAATCAATCTTATTTTTGAGTTTTATATATATTGAGTTTTATATATCAGTTGTGAGAAAAATGGCAGGAAAAATGTATATTGTAATGATGGTAATGGCATTGGTGTTGATGGGATGTCATCCAAAGACATGTAATGGAGAAACACCATCTGCTCCATCTCCCAGACCCAGTCAATATTGTTCTAAAATGTGTGCCAAACGATGCATTCATGACCAAACTTGTTATGAAGGTTGTATGAAGTCATGCAACAGCCCTCAAAAGTATGTGGACTTTCTGTCTGTATATTCTTCTTAAATTATTTACTTAATTAATATATTAATATACTAGGGTTTGACCCGCGCCCTGCACGGGGTGATGTTTTCTGAATTTATATTTTGATTAAAAGATGTTTTTTTTTGGTAATTTATTAAAAGATGTCTATTTAAATATCCCAAAATTTTATGTGACGAGTTTTTAATCTTTGTTAGATTATTGCCCTCGTTTATTCGTTTATAATATGAAAATTAAGCATTTTAAACTATTTTTTAAAAAGGTAAATAGATTAAAGTCTTGAACGTAGCCATATATTAAATATGATAGATTTAAATAAGATACATGAAACTCAAATGACTGCAGTATAATAAGTTAGTTTAAAGAACAAAAAAAATAAAAATAAAATATTATTCTTTACATAAATGTCTACTGTATTTCATAAGATAAGAAGTCACACATATTATAATAATAATTATTTTCTTTCTTTTAAAACTAAAACACGGATTACAATCAATTTTTTTTTCTTTCAAAACTAAAACATGGATTAAAATGATCTAAATTGTTAAAATAACAAAAATATAATCATACTATTATTTGCGAAGTCAGAATTTCGAATGGAGGCACCACGTTAACTCTCAGCCGCGGAATTACCGAGATACCCTTAATGAAAATCTATTATTAAATCTTCTGAATTTCCTTTTTTAATTATTTCACAATTTCGTTTTATTATATAAAAGTTTATTATTTCTTTATTAAATATTGATAATTATCCTTTTCTTTTTTCCTCAATTTATATTTATCACTAAAATAAATATCCTAACTACCATATTACCGTACCATTTTTTTGGGAAAAAATCAAATAATTAGGTATTTTACAAAAACCCTAGATTTTACAACCGACTTAGTCCTATTTATATAAATAGATTGTAACAAGCAAAATAAACAGAATTTCCGTTTCTTCTTTTTTCGTGTTCTAAATTCTTCCTTTTGTCATGTAGGATTCCAAAGATAGAAAAACCAATAAAATATGAGCAGAGAAGGTGGATAATACTAAACATGCATAAGAACATGTATTCAATAACGTGGAATTGTTTGATTTTAAGTCGATATGATCACATGACATCGTCGTAAAAGTCGGCCATGATTTTAGTGTTCTTTTTGTTTTATGTTTTAGATGGATTGTTCATGTTAGTTATATGAAGTGTTATATGTTCATGCCAATACGTGGTTTAAATACAAACCTAATAATTTGTATTCTCTGATCTCTTTTTTCATAGCATCTGAAGAAGAGAAAAAAGAGCCGTTGTGAGAAAGTTGATCTAATACAAAACATATTAAAAATTATGGCTTTGTCACTGTTTGAACCTAGGGTTTCATACCAAATCCTCTAGAAATTAGGTTTTAGTTCGTAGATAGTTATTTTGTAATTTCCAAATAGTTAGGTTTTAGCTGATTTTGTTCTTCTCTTTGTTGTTATTAAATTTTGTTTGTTTACGAGGTTTGTACTGGTACAAGAGAAACATGGCTTCGTAAAGGTTCAACAAGAACAAACCAGCTAATTTTTCTGCATTGGCATAGCAGATGTAACAAAGGTGTTAAAAGGTTGTTGCTTTGTCCATTACTTTAGCAGGGGTGAACTGAATAGATTAGAGACACATAAGAGAATCATTATGCGATTTTTCATAGGTCACAAGTTGAATTTGAAATTGTCTTTTTCTTCAAACATTGATATGATAATTGACTATTGTTTTATTGAAGCCGAAGAAGAAGAACAAAAGAACTTCTTGCACCCGGTAAGTTTGCTCGCCCACATGCTTATATTGCTCTGTTATTTTCTGTTTGTTGATCAAAAGTTCAAATCTTGCAGAATCACATCGAAGGTATCATGAATTGTCATCTAAAACCCAAGTATATGTCTCATGTAAAAATCTGGGTATGAAAATAAAGCACACATGTCTCTTTAATCATATTTTAATAATGTTCCAAGAAAAGTTTAAGTTTAGTTATCATCCATGAATGCTTGGTTCTCTACATTGGTTCACCACAGATCAGAACCGTGAAAGTGTATATTGATTGCATCAAGTCCGGAACTGTCCTAGCTTAAAAGTAAGCAAACAAAATCTGTCACAGGCTCATGTTTTTACACAAACCTTTGATGTTATCTTCAAATTAAATATCGTGTTGTAGAGGAGTCAAATACCATTATTATTAATCATAATATAATTGGAAGTTTGGTGAATAAGGAAACAAGTACTTGACACACGACTGTACAAATCTATACCATCTCCAAAAATTTAGCAACTTATATCTTAATAAACCGGTGACATGGAGTTGATTAAGTACCATAAACTAATTTAATGTATGTTTCATTAGTGCATGAAAATGAAGAGAGCTATGATGACACGGTGACCCTGAAGACGTGCACATATCTACAAGAATGTGGACCGTCCCGGAATGGGATGTTGACAGCTTCGACGGCTACAAGTATCACTCCGCTGAGCCAGATGAATTAAATGGCGCTGCTACAAACGCCAGGTCATGGGGAGCAAGGTAACAACCATCCATACACTTTTGTTTGATTGTTTCTTTTCACTTAGAACTTAAATTCTTTAAATAGAAAGAATATCTAATTAACTAAACTTGCATATGGTTTCAGGGGTTTTACGTGGAGCCAGGGCTTAGGCCTTTGTATTGCTTAGCCGGTATCAAACCTGTAGGTGATTTGGAATTGCATGCGGGATTCGGCCAAACATACTGTGAGTATTTCGCGGAGATGGCTTGCCTCTGCCTCCAGAATACAACCAAGAGCACAACAAAATAAATATCCGTATTGTTTTTGTGTCTGGTGTGGGTGAAAAAGATTGCTTATCGTCTACGTATCCTTATCCTGTGTATATAAACTTAGTCTATGTATCTATATTAATTTCATTGGAAACAAATACGGTATGTTCATGGTTGTTATATAATTCTACTAAATTATGTTTGGTTTATGTAGTACATTATGCTGATTTAACCCAATCAATTTGTTTCTCTTTTTCCTCAAGTTTCCATCTTTATCCGGATTGCCAAAAAAGGTTCACCACGTTGATAGCTTGATAATTATGATCATGATCATGTGTTCACCACCATCCGCACACAAAAAAAAACAAAAGAAGAGATAAGTGATAATTAGAATAAGATGATGCGAGAGAAGATGAAGATGATAAAGATAGAGAGAAGGGGAATGAAGAAGAAGACAAACCAGAAAAAGAACTGAAAGAAAGAAAATTAGAAATAAAAAGAAAAATAGTGAATTGGAGGATGTGAAGATACAAGAAAAGACTGAAGGACAAAAGTTGAAAGAAGAAGAAGAAGAAGGAAAAAAAGATGATGACAAAGAAAAAAGAAAAAATGGAAGAACAAAGAATAAGATGTGATCAGTAGAGAAGAATAAGAGGGTGAAGAAAACAACCATTACAAAAGATTTTTTTTTTCAAAAAAATAAATATAAAATAAATGTAAATCCAAAACCAATTTGTAATGTGGGTTCAGCTGTGTGGTTTAGGGGCGGTATAAGGTGGGTGTGGGTTTAGGGTGTAAGGTTGTTTAGGGGGGAGTTGTTATAATGTGGGGTTTAGGTTTAGGGTGTAGGGTTGTTTAAAGGAGAGTTGTTATAATGTCAGGTTTGGGTTTAGGGTTTATATTATGGTGTAGGGTTTAGTTTTTTGTGCATTTTAAAAAATTTGAACTATTATATAAGTATATCAAAACTAAAAATCATTGATTATAAATTTATATCTACCATTCTAAACTACATTCAAATTAAAATAAATCAAGCAAATACAAAATCAAAATATAACAATATAAATAGTTTTTTAAAAGATTTAGACTATATAAAGATAAAAACTATTTCATGAATCCTTGAAAATCTAAACTATCGAATGGATTGATAAGTGAAATACAAGACGTAAACAAGAATGAATAAAGACACGAGGAAAAGAAAAGAAGACGTGAAACTTCGAGAAGAAGAAAACTCGAACATGAAGAAAAAGAAAACAATGAAGAAAATATGGAATGTTAAGAGAAAAATACAATGAAGAGATAAATAAAAATTAAAATAAGATTATGTTAGAGAAGACGAATATGATAAAGATAAAGTGAGATGAGGAATGAGGAAGAAAAAAACCCATAAAAGAAATGTAAGAAAATTAGAAAGAAAAAGAAGAATAGTGAGTTGGAGTTCAGTAAAGGAAAATAAGAAGAAGAAAGGGAAAAAAAGTGATGAAAACGAATAAAAAAATGGAAGAAAAAAGAAGAAGATGAGATCAATAAAGAAGAAAAATAAAAGGAAGAAGAAAACAACCATTACAAGTGTGTATCAAATTAACAAAAATGTCAAGCTATTGTATCTTTGAAAAACAAGAACATTACAAAAAGATGAAAAATAATTAAATGAAAATACTTTTATCTAATATTAATATTCCATTTGTCCCAATTTGTAAGCAGTTTTGAGTAAACACATAAATCAAGAAAATTAATTAAAACAATAAAATATCACTTAAAATATAAATAAATATAATTTAACCAATCATAACAAAAAGCAGCAGAACATAATTGGTCGCACAATATTTGATAAAGTAAAAGTTGCATTGAAATATGTAAACTGCTTATATTTTGAAACAAAAGATTTGCCCATGAAAATTGATTTATTAAGGTAGGGTTTATATTGGTGGATGTAGGGTTTAGTTTTTTGTGCGTTTTTTAAATTGTTAGTTCTTGAAAATTCTAATGAAAAGCGAAATAGCAAAACAACTAAATTGTTTAATCTTTTGTTCAAATCATATCGATTAAATAATTACATTTCAAATTCTTAAAATATCATATGAAATTTTGTGCAACAACAAAAAATTACACCACATTAAGCAAAAAATATTTAATTCAAATAAAAAAGAGTTGTTTATTATGTGGTTATGGTGTACTGTACAGATGGGTGGGGGGTGTTTATTTGTAGGGTTAGGGTTTAGAATAGAGGATTTATATTGGTGGGAGTATAGAGTTTAGTTTTTTGTGTGTTTTTTAAATCCTTATTTCTTACAAATTCTAAGGAAAAGAGAAATAGCAAAACAACTAAATTTTTTAATCTTTTATTCAAATTATATTGATTAAATAAAAACCTTGCGCATTAAATTATAAATTTTAAAATTATGATATTTTATTCAGTAATATAAATAAAACATATCAAATAGATAAATAAAATATGGGAATAATATAACAAAAAAATAAAGGAAAATAATCATTAAAAATCCTAATGTAGACCATCTTCTTCGTCAAGCAAACCTAATGCTAGATATGCTTATCTGAAAGTAATTTTAATCAATTAATATAAAGAAGTTTTTTAAACATTTGGTATGATTTGAATATTTAAATTATTTTAATAACTATTGATAGTTTTCTGTTATTTCAGGTTTTTAGAAAAATTGTTGTATTGTTTGAATTATGTAAAATATTGGTTTTTGTTTATAGATATTTTTATTTCAAAAACAACTCATGCCCCCGCAAGGCGCGGGCCAACTACCTCGTTAACTTTATATTGAAAGTTGAAATAGATGGAATAATTGTTACACTAAATGAGGTTATATACTAAACAATTTACATTATTTTGTTTTAAAAAATTCAAATCATAGTATATACAGAAAAAAAAATTAGATTTTCTTTATTAGTTTTTTTATATTGTGATTCATATTATTTCATAAAATAAAGTTGAACAAAGATGATAGGGGATATATAATGATTTTTAAAAAAATATTATGATAGAATTCAATTGAATTTCATAACTTCCTTATTTACTTATTTTCGTAATTGTTAATTAAGGAAATAAAATAATAATAAAATGGATGGTAAGCATAATATGCAATGGCACAATTTGTAATCCCTAATATATTAAAAGAGAAAACACTTTAAAAATAACCTTTAGTTGATGTGTTATTAACAAGAATGTCATGCTGATGTGTCATCATTAGGAGCTTCTCATGTTATTTATAAAATAAGGATTAGTTTACTAGACTAATTACAAACATTGCCATTCATATTTTTGGTTAGAGAATCAAATATGTATAGTTAGATTAATCATATATGAAATTATTAATAAAAGAATCATCATTCTCTTTCCTTAATTGACAATTACGAAAATTAGTAAATAAGGAAAAATATGAGATTCAATTTAATGCTATCATTATATTTTTTTTAAATCATTCTATATCTCCTTTCATCTTTGTTTAACTTTATTTTATAAAATAAAAAATTGACACAATACAAAAAATCTAATAAATAAAATCTAAAACTTTTTCTATATATGCTATGATTTGAATTTTTAAAAACAAAATAATCACTAAAACTATTAAAATTCCCAATATGTTGTTGTGTGTAGGTGTAAAAATATATTATAAAAAATAGATGATATGCAACCATGTAAGTAGGAGAGTAGGTATCTAAATGTAATTTTTTAAAATATTTTATATGATTTTTTAGTTAAACTGTATAATGAAATCAAATAAAATAATATTTTTTATAAATGTATTTAATTTTGATCAAAAATTTGAATATTGCTCCATTTGTTTCAACTTTTCAGTACAAAATTACTTATACTTTTGTTATTTTGACAATTTGGATTTTGCAAGATTGATCTTTTATTGGTTGGATTGTTTTGGAATTATAATAAAACATGTTTTAGTTTTAAAAGAAATAAAAAAAGTTAGTTCTAATCCGTGTAAACACCTAAAACTTCTTATCTTCTTATCTTATAAAATATACTCATTTGAATTTATTTGAATTTTATGTATTTTGCTGAAGTCTAGCATATTTAATCTATAGTCTAGCATATTTAATCTATGTCTATGATCAATGTTTTAATTTGTTTTAATTTTTAAAATGTTTAATTTCCACATTATAAACGAAGATAAAAACCTTAACAAGGTAAAAAAATCTGTCACATAAAATTTTGAAATAGTTAAATATACATTTTTAATTAAAAAATACAAATTCAGAAACCATCTCCCCGTGCTGGGCGCGGGTCAAACTCTAGTTTCTCTAGTAAAGCTTGTCTTAATTAGAAATTAGGCTGAGAGTGAACCTGGTGATGACACATCAGCAATGGCAGTCTTGTTAATAGTTATTTTTAACTATCATATAAACTTGTAACTTTTATTATGATATATTTTTCTCATACTATACTCTTTGAAATTTTATATCGATATATCTTCGTCAAATAATTAATAAAAAAAACTCATAATTTTTAAATTATAAAAAACTATATATTTTTGTCAAAAGCCAACTAAGACGTTTTTGGGTCTTGATGCTTGGATGAATGCAAATATTATAACAGCAGTAATTTGCAAACTAACACATGGATTTGGAACCATATGTATATATTTATTCTTCATTTGAATTCTTCTAAATGTAACTATTGAATACCCCTAATTTATCAATGAAAAGTTATCCGCATTGCCAAGACTAATACGTATACATTTCAAATTTCAAACTGGTTGTTGTTCAACTGAAAACTATCCAATGGCCTCTTCCCAATTCGATTGAAGATCTCATGATCCAGACCAGAGTCTAATATATAACTAAAAGGTTTATGTATGCAAAGATACAACAAAACAAAATGTAACAATTTTTAAGTTGTTTATGAATATAGATTTCTGAAGGTTATTATATTAATACCACGAGACTCAGCTCACATTTCAACTCAAGATCCAGAAAAACCTAAACACTAGATCCAGTATCAATACAACCTACACTCATTAATTTAACCTGAGCAACATTAATCATCGACCAATGGTTCCATAATCGTCTGGATTGGATTGGAAAGAGACGCGAAACAAGGTTCCTCCAGCGATGAAGATGAGATTCAGAAGCTAAAGTATATCTTCACGTCTCCTTCGTTGCCCTCTTCTTGCTACTGGAGCGCATATATGATAATGAAACATCTAAGAAAGGTGGCTTGCGTCACAAGTCTTTATTCAAGTAATCTTGGTTCTTGGAACTCAAGTCAAGTGTCCCAGTTCATTCCCTTCAAGACTCGTACTTTTTGTTTTTTTCTAAACCGGATAAGTTATAATACGGCCTTAACGGTTATGTAGATAGAAAAAAGATATTCTTAAAAAGGGATATACATGGTCACATTGAGCTCATTGAAAGAAACCGCAAGTATAGGCTTCATGAGTGCTCAACGTGATAGGATGCTTATGGTATGTAAAATGTGCATCTCGAAATGATATTACATTAGAATAGTACAAGACTTACCTTAAGCCACCATATAAATTGTTTGAGGAAACTCAGTTTGATTGAAACCCAACTTATATCACCTAAAATGTTAAAACTGAAATAAAGACAAGAATCCATCAAATCACCAAACTTGCTTTGTAAGCATTCACAGAAAAGTAAAATAAATCTCCTTAGCATCCTTGAGAATATGAATATGAAGCACATATGCCTGAACAAAAAAGGAAAGTTAGTCTTTATTCAGTCTGGTACAGAAGTATAGAAATCTCCTAAAGATTTGGAAGCTTACTCAAGAATCAGTCCACTGGAAATCAAAACTAGTATGTTTCTCTGACTTGTGATTTTCATAATCGTATGAACTAATATATTACAAGCAAGTTTGAAAAGCACGTACCTATCATGAAGTCTGCTGCAGGTGATGGGTAAGTGCGATGATGAAGTTAGCGGAAAGACACCGTTGGAGGTTAGGCCTATTGGGTATTTAAGGCGGGACAAAGCTTGCGAGAAGGAGAATGTTGCGGTGTGTCTGTATAATGACGTAGATGGTGATCAAGAACCATTGTACTATGACTACCTTGCGAAATCTATCATCACTTGTGCTGAGGGAGAGATCAAGATGACTGGCTGCTACTAGTCGTTAAGGCTCTTGCAGTACTGAAGATTGTTTTTGTGTGAGGAAGAACCGCGACGAGCTTGCTTATGAATTATGATGATAACGGCGGCAGAGACCCAAATGTGATGGTCCAGTTTGTGATGTATGACCATAAAAATTTGGATGTAACTGAAGGGGAAGTTGCTCGCAGTCTATAACTGAGTAGCTTCCATAGTTTGGCTTGTTTGAATCTGTATTTTTGTTTAGATGTCGTTTCTTCCTGATTGCTTTAACGTTGAAACAATATAATCTGACGGATTTGCCCATGACAAGAAAAAAGGAAATAGAAGAATCTGACGACGTAGTTTCCATTTTTCCAGTCCTATGGTGATTTAGTTTCGAAGAGTGCGTGTCAAGCAAACTTCACTACCCTCTCTATATAACAATATCTGCTAACTCACCATCTCTCTCTCTCTCTATCTTATTCTTGTTTTGATTTCTAAAAGTCGAGAGTGAAACCCTAAGTTTGCCAAATTCTGTCTCTAAGAATATCAACAACTTTCGTTTTTGGGAGAGAAACAACACCTGAAGATGATGATGGAGAAGAGTATGGCGATTGCAAGTGAGAGATCTGGTTTTGATTTTGACCGTTTGGTGTGTGCTGCACTTAGAGACGCTGAATCGAACACCATCGACGGCGTTGAGGGATGTTTTGACATTCTGCGATACTTGAATAGTTTGAATCTCTCTGCCAAGGATCTTCTTCGCCACTCTAGAGCTATACATTCTCTGCAGAGTCTGAGAGATCACGAAAACCCTAGGATTCGAATGGGAGCTGTCGTCTTGTTCAACTCCTGGATGAAAACTCTTTATTACCAAGGAAGAGACAACACTTCTTCTTTTGCCAACAAAGCTGTTCCCTTGAAGAAACAACATCCGACATCTCATGTTGTTGCGGCAGAGACTAAGCAAAAGTCTGAATCTGTAGGGTTTAAGAAGAATGAAACCGAAGAAGCCAAAGAGATTAAACGAAATCTGAAGAAACCTGACGTTTGCAAGAAGTCTGTTCCAACAAAACCAAGGCCTCGCCAGATCAGAAAGCAGACTCCTTTGGAAGATTCTGAGAGCCCTAATTGTCAAGCCTTGAAGAAAAACTCAACGGAGATGGTGGAGCTATTCGAAATAGCCAAGAAATCAGCAGATGTGGCCAACACAAAGGGGCTTCTCTTGGCTAAAGCAGAGACATCAATCTGCGTGGAGACTCTGTCTCTACTAATCAGTTTCCCAATCAGCTCTACAGCTCCTGAAACAAGGCGGATCATGGAGAGGCTTGTGCATCTTACAAGGCACAAAGACCGCAAAGTCTGCAGTTCTGCATCTTCACTTCTTCAACATTGGAGTCAGAGCATCAGAGATCAACAACGCCAAGATTCCAAGACCACAACGAGAAAATAGATATAGGGATTTGTCAAAAGGCAGTGTAGTACAATTTAAGAAGTTTAGCTGTTAGTTTTTAAGGAATGTTTGAGTTGTAAACAAAATATGGTTTCTCATCATCTATTTGTTTTTTTTTTTTTTTTTTTTTTTTTTTGATTTCTTATGTTTCTTCTTGGATCATCAATCAGAGCAAACTCAAAAAGCTCAAAACACTTAAAACGATATTTAAATAAAGAGCGTTCGCTTCCATAGTAAGTCTTCATATGAATATGATATGACTTCGTTTATTCACATTAAACTGAGAATTCACAAGAAGGATTGTTTTATGGTCAAGGTAACAGATCCTTGAAAAATTGAGGAGATGATCAAACTGAATCATAACATTGAACCTTTGAAAAATCAACCGAAATTACATACACTGAACAAAAGCAGTAAGGAAGCCAATTAGCTCCTCCATGATCCGAATTTGTCACACTAAAATAAAAAAAAAAAAAAAAAAAAAAACTCAAAAATCTCACTTCTGTATACAAAGGTTTGATCACGATCCACAATATTTCAATTCTCAAATCAAACCAACAATAAGCCCTAATCAGCTATCATAACCAATCCTATAATCAAATCCCGCACCAAAAACGAGTGTAATTTCTGAACGAATATAAAAGAACCGATTGAAATTTGGCAAATTTCCCGATCAATTCACATCGTCCTTCTTGGGTTTCCGATAATTCTCCTCGATGTGCTTGGCGATGACGAGACCAGTGTTTGTGAGCTTCTTAATATCTGGAACGTTGTAATTCTGCGCGACGTATACTCCATAAGCCGTTCCCATCATGAACACGAAACAGCTCTTCATTACGCTCATCCTCTCTACTTCCTTCTTCTTCTCCGGCTCAAAGTTTCTGACTTTTCAGGTCAAATGACGATGACTTTAATGGGCCTTCTCAATCATTCTATTTATTCGTCAGGCCCAAGAGGCTAAAATCTCAAATTTACACTGGTTACCCTTCCTTACTCTTGAGTCTTCCACGTAGTTGCTAGGGGTAAATACGTCATGTCCAATGTAGAAACGTGATCCCGGCATATCCGATACTTCTTTATCCTTTTTCTTGGGAAGCAATATTAAAGTGCACGGATCCTACGTACACCGTCAATACATTGGACGGTTTCGATTTCCGTTCTCGTCTAAATTTAACGCGTGTACCGCCTGGTTCTTTTTGAAGCATACCACGTAAGCAGAGGAGTTTAGATGTTACCATGCACTAACTGTATATGATCTTTTCCTTTATCACATAATTTTTAAATGCTCCGCAGATTCTTGTGCAGAGGTTGCTTATATCGATTTTTTTTTTCTTGGATATTCTTTGCTAATTTGTGTTATCTTCTTCAACGATAGCGTTGAGCTCTGGGAAAGTGTTTGATTTGATCGCCGAAAAAAGCTTCGTCTTCGTCTTTAGCAGGTTTGATAATCATGGATTCTTATTGCGATTTCGTACTTGGTTTAGATTAATCTACTTAATTGATCTGTATACTGAGACAAAAAGGGTTTCTGAATTTCATGTATCTTCTGGGGATTTTAGATATTAGTCGCTGAATTCATGTGAATCGCGGTATGAGAGACATGATCGATTGATAGTCAGATGAAAATACTGCTGTTTTAGTGCTACTTCGGTTTGATGCATATTTGGGAAAATTCTGATATTTGAGTTCCAGAGTTTGATTTTTAGGGATTGGATGATTCGATTTGAGTGGTAAAAGTTTGTTTTGATGGTTTTCTGATTGGGGTCATCTGTTTCTTGTGTATGTAAAGGTGTGTTGTGTGTAAGGAATGGCAAAAAGCACGTTCAAGCAAGAGCATGACCTAGGTTTGCATCCTCAAAGACTTGTTCTTTCGATCATCAAAAACTTGCTTTGATCTAATTATCTTTGTTTTCTGAATCTTCAGAGAAGAGAAGGGCAGAGGCTGCTCGGATTAGAGACAAGTATCCAGATAGAATTCCGGTGAGAGCTCAAGTGTCTCTCTTTTACATTGTTACATTACAAGCATTTAAAGTCATATCTTTGATCAACAAATGGCTATGTACAGATGTCCTTATCGTCTCTTTGCCTATGGTCTTGTGGATAGCACAAGTACACTCAACTCGCACTTGGTTATCAAGTTGTAACCGTCTGATTTAGCTTCATGTTTGTTATATATATTTTGGCACTGTATCAACTGCTGCTTGGAGTTGTTTGAATTTTTAGTTTCTTTAACAACATTAGGGCTCGATTCTTATTAAGTTCTTGGTGATACTTATGACTTAATGGGTTGATTTGCATAAACTCATGTGGATAAGTGCTGTATGTTTTCAAATGGTTAAAGTGAGACTTGAGTGATGATTGAGACACATTTGTATTTTTGTGTGGGATCCAGGTGATTGTTGAGAAGGCTGAGAAGAGTGACATACCAACCATCGACAAGAAAAAGTAATCAGCATTCCTTGTCATTCAAACCTGACTTGTGAATTTTGATTGATAAACTAAGCTTTCTTCCGGATGTCTAAATTTGCAGGTACCTAGTCCCGGCCGATTTGACAGTGGGGCAATTCGTCTATGTCATTCGCAAAAGAATCAAACTGAGTGCAGAAAAGGCTATCTTCATATTCGTTGACAATGTTCTTCCTCCAACAGGTAAACAACATATAACATCTTTAACACAGTTACAAGCAACAAGAGCATGAAAACAAGTAGCTTAAAAAAATGGTTGATTTGATAACTTTGCACAGGTGCGCTTATGTCTGCTGTGTACGAAGAGAAAAAGGATGATGATGGCTTCCTCTATGTCACGTACAGCGGAGAGAACACATTTGGGTTTGGATCTTCATAGATCTCTTCTCTTGCTGGATATTTCATTTTAATCATCATCTCTCTTATTTCGCCGAATATTTCAGTCTTCTTATTAATTATTTAAGCAAGCTTATGTACTCCTTTAAGAACTTCCGGTTGGACGTTAATGTGTACAGTAAACATAAAAATAATGTATA